TGGTGCAACACGTATCGCCAATATGAGATCCGACTGTTAACTATATATATTTTTATCAGTCCTTTAGGAATACATGGATTCCTATGGGAGAAAAAGAGCTCCTTCGCTAAAAGCCCCGTTGTCTCCCCTGAATGAGGTTCGTGTGTTTGGGTTTTAAGCTCAAAAGCCACTATATTCCCACAATAGGACATACAAGGCAAATTTCGATGTGGCTAAAGTTCATCAGGAAATGTTCAATGCGGCAGAAGCGCATAATATACCTGCCCTATACACGCAAAATCAAATTAATGCATTTTCGTCGATAAAAAAGTTGTCCTTATGAAGGACAGTTTTTTTCCGCGAGAAAAATGCACCGAATTGAGGCACTGAAATTTCTGTGCGCACGTCTATTTACTGAAACTCCATGTGAATAGAGTCTATTCAGTTTCGTACGTGGTTTTCAAAAAGAATAAGGGCATATTTCTTCACGGGACTCCATGATTATATCTGGAAGATGGGGATGACAAATAAGGAACTGTCGAAGTTTATTGATTGCTACAATGAAGCAAGGCGAGACATTTGGGGACGTACAAAACTCCCTTGTGAGATATGATTCATTGGGTAAGGGGAGGGCACTATTGTGCCCTTTGAGAAATGTGAGAACCCAATACTTCCATCTAGTGGCCTGGAGGAGAACTTCAAACGGAACCCTCTAGGCCTATAGGGTTCCGTATAAGCCATATAGGGAACCCTATAGGTCCTATAGGTCCTATAGGGAATCCTATAGGTTTTATAGGGAACCCTACGGGTCCTATACATAACCCTTTGGATCCTATAGGGAACCTATAGGCCTTATGGGGAACCCTATTGGTTCTATGGGGGCTCTATAGGTTCTATAGGGAACTCTATAGGTCTCAAACTGAACTCTATGGGGCATATAGGATCCTATAGTATTCCTATAGGATTCCTATGAGGCATTTTCGTCAGGGCTGCAGCTCTTGTGGTACTCACTTTAGGCAATTTTCTATTTTTCATTTATATCCCCTCTTTTCTTAACAGAAATCCCAGAAAGTTTTGCTTTCGCGAAACAGTATCTGAATTTGAACTGAAATATTTCAGGAGACAGTATCTGAAACGTATGCAGAAAGATACCTGCCTTGATTCATATTTAGAAACGAACTTTTCCATCGCGATATTTTCTTTAGAGATAAAACTTTTGCGGGAGACAATTTCCATGAAATATATTGCTCCAATAATGAGGCACACAAAAATACTGAAATTTCGTTAATATTATCTAGAAAGGAGTAGACCAAAGGAATTCCTGCTTTGTAAATTTAAGTTCAACAAAACAGAAATATTTTTATGCAACACGTATCCAAGAATATATTACCCTAAAAGTATTCGAATGGGTAAAGATAGTTAAATACCATATAGAAATACCACTAGGTACGAATATTTTACGAAACCAAATATCTCCGTTTGTTGGTTTGACAATGACGCCACATTAACGGAAATAACTTGAAGGAGCAATAAATACGCTATGGCCCCACGGGTTTTGCTAGATTGGTCTCAAAGTATCCTTCAAATGAATTAATCAGTCTTCTATAAAAGGGAGCAAAGAAGGCGCTAGTCTGAAATACGTATTGTCCATACAAATTATGAACAGGTATGGCACCATAGAGGCTGTCACCCTAAATCGTTCGATCATCGGGTTAATATGCTTGGAGGGGTGGAATTATTATTATTGCCCCTCCCTGCTAACACCTGGAGGAAGAGAACAGTGACAAGGACAGATGAATGGTCTTCTTAAAAGGTGTTAAAAATTGCGTTTTTCCGGAATCCCCGCAAGAAGGGTCCGGATCGCACATTTTTCTGCATCATTTGTTACCCCAATTAGGAGTTCCCTCCCTTCCTCCGGCCCCATTAGCGAAGGAGGTTTCTTCACGTAGAGTGACACTATAGAAACTCAGTGTGGGAGTCGCCTGAGAGAGGGAGAGGAGGGAAGGCGAAGTGCTTCTGACCTCGCTGCTGCTGCGACACCGGGCTAGGGACCCCGTTTGTAGATTACAAACTTGCTATTTCTACTCGATTGGTGCCGAAGTGCCTAAGTGCTGGTTGGAGCCGGACTTGGATGGATCTGGTTGGAGCCAGTTTCTGTTCCTTGCTGGTTGGAGCCGGGAGGAAGACTTAGAAATTGCAAGGACGAATTTTGGAGAGAGGGTATGCAGAGGATTGGAGCCTGAGCAACTCCTACCAAATTCATTCTCTTGTCGTGATTGCCGTAAAATAACGCAACCACGAACGAGTTGTGCTGCATCAAGTGTGAGAGAAATGTCTGCTTGTTTTTTTTCTTTCTCCTTCTGAGTTCTCCCGATTATATCTCAGGGACTGAAACTTTCGTATTCACTGTGCGGAGCTAAAGAGGTTTTGCTATTTTTCTTCTGTTTAGTACACTGTAGAACTAAATGCACGTGGCATATCAATTAGAATGAAGGAAATCTGTGAGAAAACCCAGTCCGCTTTGAAATCCTTGCCCAACGGCTATTGATTCCGTAGCGACAAATACGGGACAAATTCTATCATTTTCTTCTCTTTTTTTCGTAATCGAGATGGTAGGGCTGTTTGCCAGTAAGCTATCAACGTACTTTCAGCACTTACGTACTACCGACCTCGCCAAACGATACCGCACACTACACAGGTGACAACCCTAACCTTGTAGCACGTTGCTCCTCTCGCTGGCACGAGTCACGTTGTTTACACGAGTCCCGTCTTTTACTCAAGTCCCCTCATTGGCAGGAGTCCCAACAGGTATCTTCCTGCCTCGTCTTCACTTTTCAAGACTCCCTCTCTGGCAATGGAGCGAGCAAGTAAACAACACGCTTTGTTTAAACTCTCCGTGAATCTCGTGATCTGATGTGTGTAGTAGAGACTGGTGCATGTCCACGCAAGAACGGTGTTAAGTGAGGTATTCTAGACGGTATTTTATAAATTCCTAAATGTCATATAACCAGTGAGACCATTTTCGTCCTAGAGGCCTAGACTCGCTCTTGCGTGGCTTCCAATGGAGGTTGATCAAATTCTTCACAATCGCTCACTATTTTATCTTTCAATTCTGGGATCATTGACTTAGGTAAGTGAGATTTCTCTGCCATTTGTAAAGCGATTATGCTATTATTATTATTGAGTTTCCCTTTGGAATTCACTCATTAGAAGAAATATCTGTCCCTTCAAAAAACGTAAAAGTAACCTACGGAGTTTATTTTCTTTAAAACTTTCTCGATGAGAAAACCTAACATTGCTTTGCTTTCTGCTGAGAAAAACTTGCGAAATTATATATCCCAATGCCACCACTTCTGAATGTTCTCTTCACATGCGTACTCTAATTTACGAGAATATACATTGGATATATGCCTGTTTGGAAAATGTGTCCCCATTTTTTGCTTCAACAATATACATGTGCATTTTTATTAGGTTCGGGAGGCCTGCAGGGCGCCACCAAAGCTTGAAGTTATCAGAAGCACGGAACTTAAGAGGAGACGTGAGGACAAAAGAGAGAAAATGCCTCATTTTCACAGGGGCAGGTCAGGTTGTTCCCACCCCGGCTCCTTGGTCAACCTCATGAAATTAACAAAAATTATGCCATTGCGATGGGATTTACTTTTTACTCAAATTAAAGTAAAGCAGTTTTACTCATGGACTTTACGAACTCATGCTTGCAGGTTAGTCATATAAAGGTCGAGGTCAGTAACCCTTACGAAAATGCCTTATGGGATTCCTATATATTCCTAAACGAAAATATATATCCTATAGGCCCCCTATAGGGCCTATAGGGAACTCTACAGGCCCCATAGGGTTCCGTTTGGGACCTAAATGGTTCCCTATAGAACTTATAGGACCTATAGGGTTCCGTTTGAAGTTCTCGTCTAGGCCACTAGATGGAGGAAAGGGGTTCTCGAATTTCTCACAGTACACAAAAGTGCCATCCCCTTTATCCACAGAATCATCTCTCACACGAGTTTTTGATTTGTACCTCCCCATATGTCTCGTCTTGCCCCATTGTAGCAATTAAGAAACTTTTACCCCTTCTTATTTGTCATCCCTATCTTCCAAATAGAAGCAAGGAGTCCAGGCCAGAAATATATTATTATTATTCCTTATGAGAACCACGTACGAAAGAGAGTAGGCCTCATCTGAAAAGAGTTTCAATAAACAGACGGTTTTTCCAGGTTCTGTCTGGTATTACCTTAGGTAGAGAGAAGAATCGTATTTCTCTATACCAAAGGAAGTGGATGCGCTATCCTGCGCATTCCAACGACGTATGTTGGCCTCGATAATGAATAATACAGGCCTAGCAATACTATTATTACAGATGTAAGTTCCCTTCGATGGGAAACACCCGACACGGTAATTAATTCAATATGGTTCCCGGTTGTCATTCCCGTTGTAATGCTAGGGTTTCGAAACCCAAGAAATTCTTCAATGAATCCAATACGTCAGGAGTCCTATACGACTCTATAGGGATCCTATAGGATCCTATAGGTTTTTCATGTTTTAAAAACCTATAGGAAAATCTATAGGTTTCCCATTGGACATTTCCGTAAGGGCATATCTAGTTTCGCTCATTTCTGGCATGAAATGCATGCTTGAAACAAGTAAAATTAGAATTGTGACATTTACAATTGTCTGGCTGTAAATTTTGTCGAAGCCTTTGCAGTTCCTTGGATAAAACAATCTCACATGTGGCCGTCTAGCATTCAAATCGGCTATGTACAATATATGCTGAGAAGTTCGCAATTTGCAGTTTCAAAAGAGGCGCTGGAGGAAAGTAGGAGTCAAACTGGAAACTAAACGGAATAGAGCACTGAAATATTAGGAAGATTGAAATGAATTCGCCACGCCCTCATTGATTCACAAGAGCCTCTGCAATAATGCTGAAATTAATGTGGCTATCACCGCTCTTTTGCTTGAAAAGCTTATGATTGTTATTCAAGTGTTACCTTAGGTTTCAAAAAAGATTACTGCACCAGGTTTTTTCTACCCTTTGACAGTCACGCCTGAGTATACTTGCGTGAACGCAACCTCTCCAAAAGAAAACTCGACAGTGAAGGGGTGAATGAGGTCCGTACGCAAAAAAACGTGTTGTGGTTTGCCCCAACGTGAAAGACAGGGTACTCTAGCCCTTGACTGTAAAAATTCCTCTTCGTTATTTCATCTCTTTAAGTATGCAATTTCCATTCTACTGCGTTAAGAAATGGTCCGATCAGAAAGAAAAATGAAGGTTTGAAAACATAAATGAATGGGCCTACTGGCTCCATTAGGATTGGTGCGATCTGTGATTTGGCGCCTGTCAGTCTGTAATTTCTCATACACTTCTGATTAACAGGGAGGCGGAGAGGCAAGGGAACGGGCAGCAGAGCCCAGCCAAGGATGGACAGACTTCCAAGGTTTGTAAACTCTGAATATCTTGTAGCTGAGGTAGCAACACTCCTAATAGAGGTCAGATATCTAACAGAGATTTTTGTTTTGGACCAAGGACTTTGCACACAACTGTAAGAATTATGAGAAACTGGCTGAGTTGAAACAGTTGGAAAAGTTTAAAGGAAAAGATCCTCGAGAGAAGAATTGGATGAAGGTTCGAGAGGCTGCATACAAAAACCTGACTTTCCGTGAAGGTGCCGAGGAGTATCAAAAAGAAAATTATCCGGGAGCAGAGATGCGGGCTTACTCATTCCCCGTTGGGTACGTCCTCAAAGACCAGAGTCAGAAAAAACTGTTTGATGAAATGCAGAAAGCAAAAGCAACAAAGGAAGTCGGTGCATCTACAACGATTCCGATAGAATGCTCAGCAGTCGCCACGGTTTTCGACTACATGAAGGAAGAATTAGCCGACATTCCTAGTTTCGTCACATACGATTACGAATTCAACGCGACATTCTACAAAGCTATGGGAGTTGAAGGAAAAGGAACGCCAAACAAGGAGGACCGCTGGAACAGATATGGAATCGAAATCTTGAGAAGTGATCATGATGTATGCGGAATCGTGTCGGATGGCAACCGCGTTCTCGTGCTATTCTTTGAGGTGAAAAGCAGACATGAAACAAAGCGCGGTCGTTCCCTTCTGGAGCATATGGGGAAGGCCGAGAATCAGCTGGAAAAGGGCCATCGCGTTGTTCGGCAGATGGTTGGAGCGACGGCGTTTAAGCACACTTATTTATGTGGCTTCGTTGCTTTCCCGTATTTGTCGAGGAAAGACATTCGAGAGTCTCTGGGGTGCGACTGTGACGAAAATATCCTTACAAAAGACGACCTGGATTCACGTGATTCATTCAAGAATTTCCTCGAGAGACACGGGGTCACGCTAACAAGGAAGATGACACGAGAAGAAGCAGTCAAGGAGTGTTACTTGGACGTGATGAGAACGTATGTGGCTGCCTCTGCGTCGGTGTCGGAAATGCCAAGGACAGTTGAAGAATTTCGCGAGAACATCGGCGAAAATATGCAAGAAGCATTACTTCTTCTCACGCCTCATCAAAGACAGATTCTTCACGAAGATAGGCGTATTCTTTTTCTAACTGGTGGGCAAGGTACAGGAAAAACGTGGCTACTCCTCAAGAGAGCCGAGGAACTTGCACACGGTGGGGAAGAAGTCATTATCGTCAACATGTCAGGGGGAGAGCTTACCAATGATATCACCAAGTGGCGAGATGAACGCCATTTCGAGGATAAAATCACAATCAAGTATCCAGGGGGTAGCAACCAACAGAATTTTATTGAGACGATCATTGCTGACCAAGAAAAGCATGTTTTGGTTGATGAAATGCAGATCAACTGGGAAATGGAGGAAAGTGAACCAGCCGATATCGGACAAAGATGGAAGGACTTTGCAGAGAAGTCGAAATGCAAAAGTCTTTGGATCGTATGGTGTCCAAGCAATCCTTGTTACCATGAGACTCTGGATTTCCAAAAAATCATCGATTCCCTGGGAAGAGAACGAGTGGAGCTACTGACAGAAATCAAGAGAAACACAGAGAACTTGGGGAAATTTGTCATAGATGTGACCCGGTTCATTCAAAAGAGGTTCCCATGCTCATTTTTACTGCCCATGCAGGGCTTGGAAAATAATACATTTCTGTCCATGGTTTCATCTGAGCACAAGGGTGAGATGGATGGAAAGCCTCAAATTGTCTTCATTAAAGCTCCCCCAAAATACAACGAGGTATACCTGTGGGCATCAGAGGCTGCATTGAAGATTCGATCACTTCTAACTGACTCCCGACCCTTTACGATTATCACCAGGGGAGAAGAACATGAAAGAAATGTTGTTGTGCGAGAACTCGGAGGACGCCTTCAGCAAAAAGTCGCCTTCCTCGACAAGGAAGGCAGACTTCGAGGACATTCTGAACCGGACTTCTTTGTATTCCATGAGTACCAGGTGGTGGGGATGTCATTCCAGGATCTCATCCTCTTAGACGATGAAAAGTGCTTTTACCGCTCTTGGTCTCGCATAATTTGCATGGCCCGAGGCTCTCTCCATGTGATCACCACAATCTCACTACTCTCTGGTCGCTGGGAAGAACCTCAGCATCTCGGACTCATCTCATCCTGTTCTCTCATGAATCCTGGCAAGCCATCATTGGATGTTTCTCATGCTCCACTAGACGAGTCACACACGATCTCGTGGCCCACTTCCTTGGAACAAGATACCCCATCACCAGATGCCGAAACCGAGTGGAAAAGGTTCGTGCTTCTATTTGGACAAAATCAATCTGGAAAGACAACATTTCTCATAAACCGATTGAAAGGGAAGGCTGAACAGGTAAAGGAGGAAATGAGTAAAGAGGAGTTAATATGCAAGACACGGATTCTGTTCGTTGACTGCAGCAGATGGCATAGAAATGCATGTTCTAAAAAACTCTTCTTAGTGAGTATGGAAGAAAGAATAAAGAAGATTGGACTGGAGAAAGTGGTGGAGGTATTCGACATCCATGAACTCATACAGGACTATGGCTTCAGACAAGAACTGTCTTTTTACCCCCAAGCTATGGAAAAACTGCTGGTGAAAATATCTGAGAAGGGGGAAAAGGAAGGACAAAGATTTCACGTTGCCTTGGACAATGCTCCCGTTCATGCTATTGGACGTGGTCCTGGAGATACAGATGGATTGAGGAAAGAATGGGAGTCCATCCTCGAATCACTCTCTTCTCATACCTCTCTCGCTTCTCTTACCATCGCCTTCCTACCCTACGTCGGGTATGTTACCATCACCTTCGACGTGAAGGAGTTCAAGAGGGAATTCAAAGTCCTTCCAGATACAAGTAAGATCGCTACTTCCCGATATCCACACCTCCCTCCCTCCCTCCCTCCCAAGGGTTACTTCAATCGTTTCCTGGTTATTCAATGTTAATTTAAACATGAGGTCTGCTCGACAGTGCTTGATCCGTAATAAACTCGGGAAGAAATTATTATTAATCCAATTATTGACGGAAAATATTACTGCAGTTAAGTAGGCATGAGAGAAAATTTGCTGCTAGCGAATTTTGGTACCTCCGATCTTCTATACTTCATTACCTTCTATCCTGATAAAGCCAAATACCTAATAATAGCTCATTTTTAGCACTGAAGTTGCTCCTTCAAATGAAATCAAAATGAAAACTCTATTAAGAAGGCAATTTTCTTAATACTGTTATGCGTGCCACCATGCAACATAGTCAAGATGGTAAACCACTCGAACCAGCCTTCTGCCTCAATTTAGTTCCTAAATCACTTTGTCCCCTTTTGAAATAACATCTTTGCTTCTTCCAAGTGGGGTAAGTCTCTGACAAATGAAGATTGAATGCTAGGCTGATTATTTTTAATTTCTTCACATCAAATTTATTAGATTAGCTTTTAGAATGGAAGGAACTATGAACCGTTTCAGCAACTGTAAAGATTGAGCATGAAATTTCAAAAAAATAATTTACAATTAAATGTCCCAATTCTTCAGCATGTGACCGTGGTTCATGACCTTTCACTTGCCCTTCGCAATTTATTCGAGTTCCTTCCCAGTGATCAGATCAAAATACTATTTTTTCGATATTCAAGAATGATCTAGGGCTCCTGCTCTTAGAGCCATGGGTATATTTTCCTGATGAAATCTGATTGGATCACAACATATCAATACCATTTGATATGTTGTGATCATTCCGTTTATATTATTCCCTCAGGTGATAGCAGATTGCCTGTTCATTATTTAAACCAGAAACACCAGTTCTGTGATTGATAATGGCGAAGTTCATTCCAAAGGTCTTAAAGGCGTACATGTCCGTGTTTCTTTGTTTACCTTGTCGAGCATTCCTCATTAAGGGCCAAGCCAATAGTGCAGGGCTTCAGTATACAGTATATGTCTAGAATAACAGTAGAATTATTAGGCATATTTTTAAAAAAATGCAGCCTCAATAAAATAGATTTCCCAGATCTACCATAGATTTATACTTGCGAGCGATTTTTTTGTCCCCCAACAGGCAAACAAACTCGTAATGGGCGCATCTTCGGGTTTCGACTATGTAGAAAAAGAAATCATGTAAAACTTACGATTTAGATATTAATACCTTCTAAAGTACTTAGTAAAACTGCTTGAACTTCAAGTAACTTTGAAGTTAATTGAAGTTAACTTTAAAGTTAACACTATGACTTCAATTAACTTTCGGCTATGTGCCGTCATACCCAAATCGAAGTTGGCAACATTATGCAAAGGGAGAGTCTTACCTCCAAAAGGACATCATTTGAAAATGTCCTTCATCCATATCACCCAAGTTCCATTTTTAAACACAACTGTAAGAACCCTTTTGCTCAAGGGAAAACATTTTGTGGTTACACCTTTCCCCCCCCCCAAAAAAAAAAAAAAATTATGATAATAAAGGCCTCCACTTAATACTCCTTGGAATGAATATTGATTAAACTACTTGTTCACCAAAATTCAACTTTCGATTTGAACCGGTTTCGCTGCAGCGAAAAAAAATCGGAAAAAATATGCCCGAACAAATGTACCCGGTTGGGTTGGACCTCAGTTTGATTTTTCCAAAAATCGGCTCCCAACATCTATTTCTGTGTCAAATTTTTCCTTTCTCTAGCTGCCCGATTTCCATGGACTTGCGTGAATGTTCTCATGAAGTAGGATTTTCCCTATACTAAGCACTTCAAGAACTATTTGTTGTTCATGTACGTGGTAAATCTGCCTATTCAACTGTTGCGAAAAAAATTACGGAAACCTGGCTCCACTGAAAAACGGGCTACTGGTGAATTTACCACAAAATCAGGGTTTTTACAGAAGCCAGCACCCTAACAGCTACTCGTTTATCAAGTTTCTACTTTCTATCATGAAATCATCTATCATCTATATCCCCCCCCCCACTTACCTATTTGCCCCCTTACGCCCTACCACTGTGAGTAGGCAAGTATCCCGCCGAAAAGGGCAAATAAGGGGAAAAATAAGCAACAGAGGTGGTTTCTACTTTTAAGGTCTTCATCTCTAAGTCTTCGCAAAAGAATTGGGATTGAATCTCAGCCAATTTTATTCATCTTTACAACATAGTCACAAAAAAATCTTAAGACGCATTTCAAGGAGGGGCATTCAAAGTATTTTCCGTTGTGAGTAGTCTCGTATTATAAATGAATATCTGCCTTACCTGTGCCTTCACAAGGGGTGATGATCCTTGAGAGCGGATATCGGAATGCGGGTTTCCCCAGCCTCCTTCGTCACGTCCTCTCCCACGAATCCCCCCATGAGTTGAGGGTGAAACCTGGAACCTTGAACACTAGGCCTCGGCCCTCCTCCCTTGTGCCTGGGGAGAAACCCTATCTCATCACTCCTCCTTTGGAGGCACACTACCACGGTGGATTCATGTGCGTTGGTGGCCGGGGTCGAGGATGCCTCGCTGTCGCGGCTGCTGCTTACCTTCACTCCAACTTACATGTATGCACCAATTCTCCTTATTCCGTCAATTTCATATATCAGAATCCTATATCATCACTCCATAATAAGCTTTGCAACCTGGGGATAATGTTGCGTATGAATGATGTCGGTAACCTTCGGTATGAGACGGGAACGGATTTTATGCATACTTTTATGCATACAAATGCATACTTTTTACTTAGCCTCGTAAGAGCATGGAATGCGGGCTAAGCAAATATAACTACACTTAGTGTACGCTTACGGAATGTAGGCTGCAATGCGTCGCCCAGGATGGCGGACGGCCCAGGATGGTGTACAATACCAGCGAAGGTGAGGACATAAAGGAGTAGCTTTTTGCCTGTCCAGTTCCAAGATCATGGATTTCAGGAGACATATCAATCTCCATGTGCAGTAGTCTTCGGCTAACAGTTACAAATTTTGACATGACGAATCGATTCTGTTTTGGATCTTGATAGGAACAAGACCGTAAGGTTACTATTGTCCTCAAATAAAGTGAGTGAGGGCCATATTACAGCTCTGTTGGTGGGTAATAGAGGGCCGCCCTATTATAGCAACCCATGTTGGTATGCCTACCATCATCACTCTTACAGGCAACATGTGTATGCAGCACCTTTCCACTATCGGAAGCATGATTGGGAAAACAGAAGGGCGGCAATGAAGATACGGAAGGTGATCGTCAGTATGGGAAATATGGTCTATGTTGGTTTCCTTGTGTCAGGCACGGAAAATTGAAAAGTTTCTGAATTTGACTAATGTACTGTAAGGTGATGAAGAACATGCCAGTGGTGGTGGGTATTCATTATAAAATTATCTTCGAATTTAGAGAAGGCAAAACAACACAATGGAATGTATATGCTTGACGATGTCTGGAAGCGAGCAGCTCGTATGCCGTAGAACTCCTGGACTCCTTTAGAAACCTGCGGACACCTACTACCCGTTAGGTCGTGTGACGTTACCTTTGACTAGATTTAGCTGACCCGTTCCCAAAAATCTGACATTCTGGACGCTTTTCATATTCACGTTGACTGTCAAGGAGACCAGTGTAAGCATGAAATTGAATCGAAGGAAGTGAGTGAAATACTAATGAAATAATGGTTTTAATAAATCTCTCTGTCTTATATTTGGTAACGTGGGGAATATGGGCAGCTCATCATGATCTCTCAATTTCAGTTGTATTGTTGTATTACATTTTCAGGAACTCATCTGTGTCACAGAAGGAAGCAAGGAGGAGAAGAAAGAAGAAGAGAGCAAGAATGAAATTGGGTTGAAGGAGGTGAGTGAAAAATTTGTAGTGGAATGTATTATATGATCTTTCTATCTTACATTGGGTAACATGGGAATATCGGCAGCTCTTCGTAATCCCTCAGTTTCAGTTGTATTGTTGGATTCAATTTTCATGAAAATATTTGTGCCGATGTCAAAAATTATTCCAGGGAAATTCCTGGTTGTTTTTTTTAGCTCAGTTTTAACGTAGGAAAAACATTTTTATGCAGCACGTTCTCAAGAAATGTTTACCACTAATGATTAGATCGGGTATAGATAGCTAAAACACCATACAGAAGTGCCTGTCAGTACGACTGTTTCAGGAAGCAAACGATCTGCGTTTGTTACTTTGCCAATGACATCACATAATGGGAAGTAACAAGACAAAGCAATAAATATGCCTATCATCCCAGGAGTTTTAGTAGATTGGTCAAAATGGATATGTCCAATGAATTAATCATTATTCCAGATAGTGGAGCGCCGAAGGCAGTATTATCAGTCATTGTGTCTTAGGTATTACAGTATATATATGCTGTGGTCGCGCCTTCGGCGCTCCATTACCATGGATAGTGCTTAATTCATTTATTCTTTGCGAAATGGCAAACATGTATTTAAAGTACGTCCCATTGGAATATGTGACATATAGGGACGAAAGTCCTCATTTTTATCAAAATCATTACTTCTATTATTTCTAGTGTGCCTAACTTGATATCTCTTCTTGTGTCCCTTTTTGCAAAGGTGGAGAATACATTTTCAAATACTTCCATTCTATAATCTATGCTCATGAGGCATATTTCAAAAGTAGGATTTTTCCTGTACTCAGCCATAAAACAGGTACTTCTGAAGGGAAATTTTAATTTTCCGTTTCTGTTTCGTTGCTTCGAAAAAAATTCAAGAAAATGGGACTTAAAAAAAGTGGCGTGGTTTTTTTTTACCGAATTTTTATTATTATTCTGAAATATAGACTCAGGGAACTCTATGCCACCCACTTTCAGCCTTATACGTTTCCCCATTTTGCTGGCTGTAAAAAATATATTTGGAAAAGCAACCCACCCAAAAGCTGTTCTCTGGGGAGACGCTCAGCAAGAGTTGAATTTTTACTTAAATCAACATCGCGTCCGTTATGCGTGCGCCAGCTGCTATTTTTCTATTTCTGCCCGTTTCGCAGGGATGTTTGAAACTTTATTGAAAACGTTACGTCCTCAAGAAATATGCCCAAAATTTTTTTTGGAAATTTGACATTTGCCATTTGAGCTGAGTGCTTCCCCAGTCACGTTCTTGCCATGTTACAGATTTCCATGGTCTTCCATGGGTTTCATTAAAGCAAAGAGAACTATTTGAAAATATGTTCCCCGAAAAGGTGTGCCCCTATGGCGTCTATCACCAAAGTGTAATTTTTCCTGAACTCAGATTGTGAATAGCTACTTATGTCAGTCAGCTACTCACGATCATCTATATATAACATGAAAGAATTGTTTCTTTACTCAGCTACTCATCTTTCCATTTCTTTGCCAAGTTCAACATTTCTTGCAATCTCCGTTTTGCTGGATCCGAAATTTCAGAAATTTCAGGAAAGCCAACCCACCCAAATGCTATGCCCGGAGAAAATGCACCATAAGAACTGAATACTCCATCAACTCCATAAGATCACGTCACTTATACGTGTGCCAAGTCTCACCTTTTCATTTCTGTCCAATTCGCCACAACAATTTTCTTTTTTTTAAACATCGCCCCTCGAGTAATTCTCCCCCGGGGATGTATAAAGGCATAACATTTTTCTTCAACTTCTTATCTTGGTAGTCACATTCATACAAAGTTCCAGCTTTCCATGTCCAACGGTTTAACTATTGCAAAAAAAAAATTTAAAAACATCTCCCTTTGAAATTCATGCCCCCAGAGCATTTTCATTCCAAAGTCTGAATTTTTCTGCACGCAACTACCCGGAAGGTAATTCTGTACCAAATTTCATCTTTCCCCACTAGCTCAATACACCAGGACAAAAAAACACTTAAAAACGTTGGCCCCAAAAAATATGCCCCCAGGGCATGGATCTAAAATGTTGCATTTCTCCTGAACCCATCGTGTCTGTAGGCACATGTATGGCACGTTTCAGCTTTCTATTTCTCTCTATTTTACTCAAGCCACAGGACATGGAAGGCAAGAGAAGCCAAAAAAAGGCTTGGAATGGAAGGGAATTGAACCCTGGCCTCACGATTACGGATTGGATGTGCTACCACTACACCATGGAAACGGCGACATACAGATGCACCTCTCAAAGACATCCTTATCCATGACGACATATATTTTTCAAAAACTCCTGGGATGATAGGCATATTTATTGCTTTGTCTTGTTACTTCCCATTATGTGATGTCATTGGCAAAGTAACAAACGCAGATCGTTTGCTTCCTGAAACAGTCGTACTGACAGGCACTTCT